CATGTCAGGGCGGCCGCTCGGTGGGGCCTCTTCTCCGTCTTACTGCTGCTGCTATCAGGGGATGCCCAGAGCTCGGAGGTGCCCGGGGCTGCTGCCGAGGGGTCGGGTGGGAGTGGGGGCCGAGGGTTCGGGTGGGAGTGGGGTCGGCATAGGAGATCGCTTCAAGATTGAAGGGCGTGCAGTTGTTCCCGGGGTGAAGCCGCAGGACTGGATCTCCGCGGCCCGAGTGCTCGTAGATGGAGAAGAGCACGTCGGCTTCCTTAAGTGAGCATCCTGAGGGCAGCGGGAACGCGGTTGGGTTGGAGGCCGGAGGGGATCCTGCTAGGAGAGCCAAGTGTCAGGACCGTACGGCGTCGCTGTCCCAAAGTGATGGGGCGGGTGCCACTAACGGTCTGTGCAGGGAGACCTTGGGAGTCCGTGAGAAGCTTTCCCCTGCCCAGTCCCGTGCCTCAGAAATGAGGATGGCTGGGACCAGCAGTTAGCGTAATGGCTATGTCACTGGATTCCTATGTAGTCGACGCGGTTTGCGTCCCGGACCCGGTGACTTAAACTCACACCGGGCGCGTGGGCGGGCGTGGCCAAGGTCCCGAGAGGAGAATGGAGGAGAAGGGATTGCAGTGTAGCCATCCCCCCTGGGGGGAGAGGGACTTCTAGTTCTCTGTCTCTCTGTCTCTCTCTGTCTTTCTGGCAAGCACACGCGCCCTATAGCAAAAACCTTTTCCAAAAAAAAAAAAAAAGAGAAAGAAATGAGGATGGCAGGAGCTCACTCCAGAAATGGGGTCAGTTATTTTCAACTCCATTATAGTCCAGTATGGGAGGGACCACTTCTGGGCCCTGGGGACAGGTGGACTCTTATTTGTCTTTTGACTGGATTCTTTTCTTTTGCATATCATCTGGTTTCACTAGAACCTGCTCGTTTTTGCGTTAATTTCAGTCTTTTGGTACCGTGATGATGTGTAGAAAGATGCTAAACAAGTGGGAATTCTCAAAGCCCAAAGGGCTTCTAGTGATGACATAGACTGGGAGGCTAATGTAACTGCTTCTAAAATTAATGGGCCCGAAGTCCCTAATCAAAGCACCTTTTTTTCTTTTTTTGCCTGAGGGTGGGATTGTTCTTTTTTGCTCTCGAATTCATTGAGGGATTTGAAATATGGCACTTGTTGTTTGTGTGAGACTGGGGTTTCTCTACATTACGTACATACTTCTATCCTTTCTTTAGTAGAAATGGGATTTCTGTTTATTTTTTAAAAACGAATATATTTGTTAGCACTCTAGTTTTGCAGCAATCTTTTTAAATATCTAGGCACAACTCTGATATTTTAAATATTCCCCACCATTGTTGGGAAAGTGAAATGCAAACTGAAAGAAAATGTTTAGGAAAGAAAGTACTGGTCGGGTAGATTTGTACACCAGCAAGTGGTATCTGAAAGCCAGACAACTTACATGTGTACATTTGATTCTAAGTTTGAGTTGTAGATTCCTTCAGTTCATTCAGGTGAATGAATGAGAATTTTAACCAAGGTTAATAATGACAAATTTACAACCAGAAAGAACGAGAATAAATAATAATGCCTTAATGCCATCTAACATGCAGTCCCTTTTTAAGTTCCCCCAGTTATCTAAAACATCTTTTTATATAATTGTTCTTTCAAAACAGGATTGTGCAGTAGAGTGCATTATTTTTGGAGAGGTTTTAGTGATAGGGTGCGTGAGCTTGCCAGAAAGACAGAGAGAGACAGAGAGACAAAAAGTGAGAAATCACCCCCCAGGAAGGATGGCCACACCACAATTCCTTCTCCTCAGTTCTCCTCTTGGGATCTTGGGCACGCATGCACACATGTGGCGTGAGTTTAAGCCACTGGATCTGGGACTTGAACTGCAGTCAACTACATGGGAGTCCATGACATAGCCCCATCTGCTGCTCCCTAGAGTGCATTTTTAAACCCACATTAAAAATTTTTGTCATGGGGCCTACAGGTAGTATAGTGATTAAGGCTCTGGAATTCCCACATGGCGGAATGTGGTTGGAGTCCCAAACTTAGCAGCTTGCTTTCTCATTCTTTTTCTCTCTCTCTGTCTTTCTCTGACAAAACTCAGGTTAAAAAATAATAGTAATAATAGATAAATAAAATAAATAATTCTTAAAAAATTTTTATCATACAATTTGTATATTAAGTGTGAAACATTTACAATAATATGGAAAATATATTTAGTTTTTTTTCCATGTAATTAGTTTTGATATTATGCGTGGTACACAGTCAGAAGTTTGTTTTTATCTGGACTTAGAAAAAATGTTTTGAAATGGGCTCTGTTAGGGTCTTATCAAGATGTATTTGAATTAGAATAATTCAAGGAAATTTAATAAAATAATTAAATGGTGTAAGGATAAACCAGATGTGCCGTATCTTGGTGAATACAAATGAGGGCTATCATCCTCAGGAAGGAGAAAGCTCTGAGGTTATTGGAACCTTGAAGTGAAAATAGGGCTTCCTTGAGAGAACCTGTCTCCCTCAACACAGCCAGTGGAAGGTGTCCTGTCAGTCAGAAAGTGTTGAAAGAGAAATATACTAAGCTTACTTTTTCCCCTGATTCCAGTCTGAGAGAGAAAGTGGAAAGTGGATCTGGAGGGCAAATGCAAGATGTCCAGGCCAAGAATAAGTTAACTTGATGTTTACATTTCAATTCTGTTTTAACTTAGTGTGTATTTTGAAATAATGAGGAGCACTTTTTCATCTTTTTAGTAAATATTATGGATGTGATCACTATCGATCATTCCTTTTACTATAAAAGAGCTTAATGATATAGGAAGCATTTTTTGAACTTCTTATTATGATATTGAGAATTCTCTGATACAATTGATGCTTTTAGAACCATTTAATTTCTATTTTTTTCTTTTAAGAATTACTTTATTTAACTTTATTTATTTTTAATTTGACCAGAGAGGGACAGAGTGAGAGACAGAGAGAAAGATGAGAAAGCAAGCGACCAGGTTCAGGATTCGAACCATGATATGTCATGTGGGAGTCTAGCACCCCCAACCACCATGCCACCTGCTGGCCCCCTAACCATTTAATTTCTTTTTTAATTTTTTTGGAGAGATTTTCGCTGTAGGGAGCGTGCGCTCACCAGACAGACAGAGAGACAGAAAGTGAGAAATCACCCCCCAGGGGGGGATGGCCACGCCGCAATCCCTTCTCCTCCATTCTCCTCTCGGGATCTTGGGCACACACGCGCCCGGCGTGAGTTTAAGCCACCAGTTCCGGGATGTGAACCACGGTCGACTACGTGGGAGTCCAGCGACATAGCCATTACGCTAACTGCTGTTCCTAACCATTTAATTTCTTGAAACAGAATCTTCTTGTTATCTTCAAAGTAGCAGTTTCTCATTTTTCAAACAATAATTTACAAACAAAACTAATTATTTTGATCTATGAAATGAAATGATCAGCTCTTGATCAGATGATTTTCTAACTCTAGAAGGTTTAGAAGAAATGAATATGTAAAGATGGATGGTTTTAACCACATAAACACTTTAAACTTCTGCATATCAAAAAATGGCATAAATGGCAATTATTTATAACAAGTGGAACAAATGGTAAACATTTTTTGTTATTTGTAAAAAGAAAGAAAGAAAGACAATTAACAAAATGCAACTTAAAACTAGAACAAAGTGCCTTTTCAAAAAAATTGCCAGAGGGCTCATATACTTGCTGGACAGAGACAGAGAATCCCTGTCTGGATTTTAGGCACAAATTTAAATATACCTGGAGTGTTTTTCAACCTGCTGTGGCTGGGATTCAAACATAGGTGCGGAATCCAGCTCCCTCAACCACTAGGCCACAGAGCTGGCCCCCCAAAATGCCATTTATAATAGTTGGAAATTGTTGGAGGTATTAGCAACATTGGAACCCTAGTAATGTAATAATAATGGAGGTAGATAATTTCTCTTCAGTGAAGACAAGGGTTTAGAGTAGGCACTGTGCTGTTCTCATCGTCTTTACCCACAGAAGGAATGTGGGGTTTTTCTATGCCAGGGTTCTTTGCTTCTAGAGAAGTCTCTGGTATTTCGGGTTTTTTTGTTTGTTTGGTTGGTTTTTTTTGGAGAGCTATTTGCTATAGGGCACATGCGTTCGCCAGACAGACAACAGAGAGAGAGAAAGCAGGAAATCACCCCCCAGGGGGGATGGCCATGCAGCAATCCCTTATCCTCCATTCTCCTCTCAGGATCTTGGGCACGCACGCACATGTGCCCGGCGTGAGTTTTAAGCCACCGGGTCCAGGACTCGAACCGCGGTCAACTACATGGGAGTCCAGTGACATAGCCATTACTCTAACTGCTGGTCCCAAGTATCTGGTATTTCGAGACTTCACTAAGTGCAATCATGTAAGCTGAAGTATAGAAATATAGGACAGCTCTTGCCAGACTTTTTTTTTTTTTCACCAGTTACATTTTTTTTTAAGAAGGTAGTGTTTTTTTTTTAATTTTTATTTATTCATTCATTTATTTTAATTTGACCAGAGAGAGACATAGAGGGGGAGACAAGGAAAGTGAGAAAGCAAGCCACCAGGACCAGGACTTGAACCATGGTCGGCCACGTGGGAATGTCCAGCGCCTTTACCACCACACCACCTGCTGGTCCCCTCCCCAGCGCCAATTTCTTTTAATGTGATTTTTTTTTTTTTTTTTTTTTTTTAATTTGAGGGGATGAGAGTTAACACATCATTTTGGAGTTAACACATGCTTTAAAATATGAGACTAAGCTGTTGATCAGAAGTGACTAAATGTGATTTTCATTTTTCCAGGACAGATGGGAGTTTTGTGGTTCATGATATACCTTCTGGATCTTATGTAGTGGAAGTTATATCTCCAGCTTACAGATTTGATCCCGTCCGAGTGGATATCACTTCAAAAGGAAAAATGAGGTGAGGGTAAAGATTTAATATTTGCCAAAGGTTGGGCTACTTCATATCTCATTTTATAATCCTTTTAGAATTTATGATTAAAAGTTTTCTTATTTGAAGTGTAGATACTCCTAGACTAACTTCATTTAGGGGTGCTGGATCCCACATGACTGACTATGCAGTTTGAATCCTGGATCTAGTGGCTTGTAAAACATACCAGGCATGTGTGTATACATGCCCCAAATCCCAATGGGATGGAGAAATAGTGGACAAGGGATTGTGGCATGATCGTGTCCCACTCAGGGGTGCTTTCTCCCTCTTTCTCTGTCCCTCTCTGGTGAGTGCATTTGCACTCTGGCAATTTTTAAAATAAATAAACAAAATACAGATATTCCTTAAAACATTTAAAATATCTTTATGTTTTTTAACCTGAGTATTAATGGAATTGTAAAATTGGACTTTACTGTTCTGACATAAAATTTATTTTAAAATTTTTAAGTAGGAGAATATACACTTTGAAACTGAGGTAAAAGGCCCTGTAGCCAAGTGGTTAAGAGAGCTGGATCTTGCGATTAGCAGATGGCATAATGGTTACGTCACTGGACTCCCACATAGTTGACCACAGTATGAGTCTCGGACTTGACATCTTAAAACTCATGCTGGGCACATATGCATATGTGTCTAAAATCCTGAGAGGAGAATGGAGGAGAAGGAATTACAACATAGCCATCCCCCCTGGTGGATGATTTCTCACTTTCTGTCTCTCTCTATCTCTGGCAAAGGCACATGCTCTATTACAAAAATCTCTCAAAAAAAAAAAAAAAGAGCTGGATCCCACATGTGCCACCACAGCTTGAGTCCTGGTCCAGTGGCTTGAGACACACTCTGGGCACTTGCATGCATTCCCCAAAGTTTGAGAGGATGAAGAAATAGAGGAGAAGGAATTGTGGCATGATCTCACCCACTGGGAGGTGCCTTCTCTCTTTGGTGAGCACATGTACCCTCTGGCAATTGAACAAAAACTCCTAGTATGGTTATGTACAGAAAAGGTAAGATTACTTATAAAGAGCAGAAACACTGTAAACATTATGATTAAAAAGTGATTATTAAGGTTGGAAGAAATTGAACTTTTCTAAATTGGAAATATTAATTGTTACTTGTTTTGTGGGGATCATTTGATAATACTTTCTTAAAAAGTGTGTTTATTTCATGAGAGAGAAAGACAGGTAGGGAGACAGGGATGCTGACACACTCTCACCATGCCTCGATCCTCCTGCAGCTCCTCAGCCAGCCAAGATCATGGGGTTTTCACGGGAACACCTCCCTTGTTCAGGTTGACTCAAGATCCAAACCCTGGGGCTTCTCACATGACCCTAGGATTGCACATGGGTGCCCTACCACCTGTGCTACTGTGGCTAGGTGGATAATGCTTCTTAGTAACTATCTGATAATTTCATTAATGTCAAAAGTTCTATAGTTTCTCATTTGTGGAATATTTAGTGTTTGATGAAATGTAATATTTCAGGGAAAACAGTAAGTTGCATTGTAGAATTTATCTCAAAATGAGGATCTTGGTAAAAAGAAAGGATGAAAAGCACAGTATTAGGGACTGGCAGAATAGGAAAGTGTTATGGAATTTCTAAGTAGGAGAGTATATGTCGCTTCAAACGACGACGCTGACAAGGTCTTCTCCAGAACGCTTTATTACCCCAGGCTTCTTACAATCTTCTTCTTCCTCCTTCCTCCATTCTCCCCAGCCTTCTCCCTCCTTCCTTCTTTCTCCAGTCTTCTTTTCCCAGCCCACCCGGGCTCCCTATATATCCGTCCCACGAACCAGTCCTCTTTTGCCACCAGGCAAGCACTGATAGGCTGAGGCAGTGCCTACGCGTTCCGGAACAGGAACGATAACCAAATATGGGCTTGTTTATGTAGAGGTCTGGGTGCTCTCGGCGCCATGTTAGGGCGGGGGCGCTCCACAAGTATATGCTTTGAGATTGAGGTAAAAGGAACTATGGTCTAACTTAGACCAAGATTATAGAATAGCAAGACCCTTTGAAGTTAGAAACAGTTGGGTAGATTTCCACAGTCTTCAGATTCAGGCTTCTATTTTAATATAACAAATTTATCTATCTCATGGCAGTAGCACTCTCTTTAGTCTAATCTGACCAAGAATTACATGAAGCAATGTGAAGCGGTAAAATCTCTTTTGTGAACTGTCATAATATTATTCTATATTATTATAATAAATAATATCAAAGAAACACAGATCGTACAAGGCAGTTAAGGAGGTCTATTTCATTACTGATCTTTTTGGTTTTTACTAAGCATATCTAGGCTGAATTTAGAGGCCCATAATTGAACTGATATATATATATATAATATGTATCATAATATTTGCTTTAGTATTTACATTAAAATAATTTCCTTTTACTTTTAAAAATATTTATTTAATTTGATCATTATTAATTTATTTTTTTATTATTACTTTTTGCTATATAATGATGCACTTACCAGAGAGACAGAAAGCTTGAAATCACCCCCCAGGGGGGATGGCCATGCCACAATCCTTTCTCTTACATTCTCTTCTCAGGATTTTGGGCACGCATGCACACACACCCAGCATGAGTTATAAACCACTGGGTCCAGGACTCAAACTGTGGTCAGCTATGTGAGAGTTCAGCACTTTAACTACTACACCACCTGCTGGCCCCATCATTATTTTTAAACTTGCTGCAGGGCACATGTGCTCACCAGAGAGAAGGAGAAAGAGAGAAAGCAAGCCAAGTCCAGAGCTCAAACCGCAGTTGGCCATGTGGGAGTCCAGAACCTTACCACAAAGCCAGATCACATTAGTCATGTGAGATTCAGCTCTCTATGCACAGGGCTTACTCACTACACTATAGGGCTGGACCCTCCCATTTTTTAAGTGAAATTGTTGCCTTAGAATATTCTATTTCTCTAAATTCTGATTTAATTTTTTGCTTTGGTTATATAGAGCAAGAGTGAAGTGTCAATGGAAGGTACTACTTTGTAATTATGTTTATAAATATTTCTCAATGGCAAAAATATATTATTTCAAAGTAGATGATGGCATAAATGTATTATTTCAAAGTAGATGAACCTCCTTAGGTATTGATCTTCTTGTGTCTTTTTAGAAACAAAGATTTTATGTAGAGATTGATATATATAAATATATATCAATGATATATATATATAAATATATAATATATAACTTTGATATATAGTCATGACTTTTTATATATTTTTTAATTGTAGACTTAGAAAAATGAGGTATGTAGATTATAGTATATGTTATATTGGGTCATCAGAAAGGTTGATGCATTTTTATATAGAAAAACAGAAAAATATCTCATGACTTTTCCAACAACACAATATACAGTGGCTTAAATAATTTTTATATTAAAAATACAATATTGGAGGGAATGAGAATTGTTAAATGGAAGAGAATATTTGTCTATTAAAAGCTTAATGTTTTTGTTTATCCTATTTACTCTGTTTGAATTTTGAATAAACTAATCTCAGCAAATAGAAATATTGTTCTTGGGCTGATCCCATAGCCTGCTGGTTGTGGGAGCTGGATCCCACATGGCGGACTCCGGTTTGAATTCTGGCTCTGGTAACTTGAAAAGCACATCAGGCACATGTGCATGCATGCCTAGCATCCCAATAGGATGGAGAAATGGAGAAGAGATTGCAGTGTACTCCCTATTAGGGAATACTTTCTCCCTGTCTCCCCTTTCTCTGTCTCTCTGTTTCTTTCTGACAAGGGCACAAACCCTGTGGCTATTAAAAGCAAGAACAGGGACCAGCAGTTAGTGTAATGGCTATGTCGCTGGACTCCCATGTAGTCAACCGTGGTTTGAGTCCCAGATCCAGTGGCTTAAACTCATGCTGTGAGCGTGTGTGTAAGTGCCCAAGATCCTGAGAGGAGAATGGAAGAGAAGGGATTGCAGTGTGGCTATCCCCCCTAGGGAGTGATTTCTCGCTTTCTGTCTCTGTCTCTCTCTGGCTTTCTGGCAAGCACACGAGCCCTATAGCAAAAACCTCTCCCCCCAAAAAGAAAATTTTTTTTTAGATTTTTGCACAGGGTGTGTGTACTTGCTGAGGCAAGAGAGAGAAAGTGAGAAATCACCCCCACAGCAAGGATAGCCACACCACAGTCCCTTCTTTCTCCTCTTGGGATTTTGGGAATACATACACACACACCCAGCATGATTCTTGAACTGTGGCTGGCTATGTTGGAATTCAGCGCCTTAACCACCATGCCACCTGCTGGCCCCTGAAATATTATTCTTAATATAAACATTTCTTTGCTTTTTTTACCTTGGGTAAAGAGTAATTCTGCTTGGGAACCAACAGTTAGCGTAATGGCTATGTCGCTGGGCTCCCACATAGTCGACCGCGGTTCGTGTTCCGGACCTGGTGGCTTAAAACTCATGCCGGGCGTGTGTGCGTGCGTGCCCAAAATCTCGAGAGGAGAATGGAGGGGAAGGGATTGTGGCATGACCATCCCCCCAGGGGGTGATTTCTCGCTTTCTGTCTCTATGTCTCTCTCTGTCTGTCTGGCGAGCACATGCGCCCTATAGCAAAAATCTCTCCAAAAAAAAAAAAAAAAGAATAATTCTGCTTTAGCATTTAAGAGCTGGTAGTAGCAGCAGGACTTGTATTCTCAGGTATATTCCTGATATTAGATGTCTGAAGCATAGGCAACAAAAAACAAGGCTATTATAATTTTTCTAAAAGAATTATTTATTTCTAAAAGTATTATTTATTTAATTTTATTTATGATTTTTATTTTTTAAAAGTTTGGCCAGATAGAGACAGAGAGAGAAAGGGAAAGTGAGAAGGCAAGCTGCCTGGTTTGGAATTTGGAACGCATTGGCCATGTGGGAGTCCAGCATCGTACCCACCACGACACCTGCCAGGCCATTATCATTAATTAATTTTTTTTTTAAGAGAAGTTTTTGCTATAGGGTGCATGTCCTCACTGGAGAGACAGA